GGTCTCGGCATCACTGGAATTAGCGTCGGCGGTAAGAGATTGTCTATCTCCGCGTCGGTGTTCACCACGGCAGGCACAATCATCGACTCCGGAACTGTCATCACCCGCCTCCCAGCCACGGCGTACTCCGCTCTCAGAACTGCTTTCCGTCAAGGAATGTCCAAGTACCCAATGGGGAAGCCACTATCAATTCTCGATACGTGTTACGACCTTAGCAGTTACAATTCCTTCAGCATACCCAAAATAAGCATTTCCTTCAGTGGCGGGGTTGAGGTGGAGATAGCCCTGGCCGGAATCTTGTACGTCAACAGCCCGTCACAAGTGTGCCTGGCATTTGCCGGAAACAATAATGATTCCAATGTGGGTATTCTCGGAAACGTGCAACAGAAAACATTGCAAGTGGTGTACGATAGCGCCAATGCAAGGGTGGGGTTCGCCACTGGCGGGTGTAGCTGAGGAGATTACAACGAACGAAGAGAATCTTCGAGTTGCTGCTCTTGAATCTTGATAATTGTAACAAGAGATTGCTTTGGATTAAAGTTTGATGTATTTGAATAAGAACTGCTTGGTTGCTTTCTTGCAAGTTTCAACCTTAAAATTCTACTCCTATTATTTTAAAATAATCATTATTTTTTAATTTTTTTAAAAATTAAAAATTTAGAGATAATAATTGTATTTATTTATAATATCTAAGGAGTATTGGTTAATAACTTGACATTTTAGATTAGAAATATCAAGTTTAAATTTTGAGTGAAATGAAAAGGAATTTAAGAAAAGAAAAAATTATCTTTTTTTATATAATTTGTATTAAAATAATAACTCTAAAAAGGAAGTAAAAAATAAAAAAAATTTATAGTTAGATAATTAATTAAAATAATAGATAATAATAATACAGTTAAAGTAAAGAAAAAATATTTTTGACCTTAAAAAAATAATTTAAAATAAATTTAAAGTAAAAAAAAAAATTATTTATAGTTATTTTTAGATAGAGAAAATAAAATATATGAAATCCAATTTCATTGATGTTCTGTTTGGTAACACAAATTTAAAATAATATATTTGAATTTAAAAAATTAAAATTTAATATTACCATTTCTTTTCACTTAAACAGATATTAATTAAAATTTACAATTTCATTGATGTTCGTCAATCTTGCTTGGAAGACTGCGGTGGTCGTGAGGGTTTTAGGTGGGAACGGATTTTCTGTTAGGCTTGTCGGATCCAACACCGAATTCAGAGTCCCTAAATCTCATCTGAGGTTTCGTCAGTGTTGGAAAGACGGTAGATGGTTCCTTATTGGAAAGGTAAATATCATTCCGCAGTCGATTCTACTTTTGTATTTAGCATGAATTTCCTTTGAATTTTACTATTTTATTGGGATTTATTAATCTTGAGATTTATTAATCTTGGGATTTCTCTGTTTTCCTTCATTGATCATGAATGCTTAGAAGTCTAGATGGTTGATTCTTTATTGTTTCTCTTCTGTAATTGTGCTACAGGGTTCTGGAAATTCTACTGTGTTGAAGGTGACGAGGCAGATTGAGGCTGCCATGGAGCCTTATGTCGGTGCTGATGGAATTCGAAAGTCTCCCATGATTTCGGAAGGTGCGCTGAAGAGAAGATCTTCCCCTTGCTTGTCAGGTGCTGAATACCATGCCGTGGCAAAGAAGATTAGATTGATTGTCAAAGATGGTAGTACTGGTGCACGATCACTTCTACTGCATCCATCTCCCTTCTCTGAAAAGGTAGATGCACTTGTTACCCAGTAAAAATTGCTGGGTGAGAAAGATATGCATGCTTCTTTTCATGATAGAACTACTATGTGGACCGGAATGGATGTGTCTAGTGAAAATAATAGAATAGATATTGATATTCATAGTTGTGCATCTTCTGTTGGTAGTTGTAGCAGTGAGGGGTATGATATTGATAGGTTGCCTTTTGGTTTTAGAACATACCATACTGAGAAGAACGTAGATGATTATTCTAGTGATGCTGAATCAGGTTGTGGAGATAGGTATGGAGAAGGAGCTTGTTCTCTTTCCACAAATGTGGAACTGAGAACAGATATCCATAGGTCAGAGCTACATGCCTATCGCCGTGCTATTCAGGCATTGTATGCTTCTGGACCTCTGAGTTGGGAAGATGAAATAAAGATGACAAATCTACGTAGTAGACTCCACATTTCAACTGATGAGCATTTGACAGAGTTAAAAAATTTGAAATACAATCAAACTGGACCCTCCCTTTGCTGTTATTAGATTTTCTTTTAGTTTCATAATTTCGTTTTGTCCCCCCATGTGAAGTTTTGTAAGCAAAAGGAATGCCAAATACTGTAAAAGTCAATGGAAGTGTACAAAATATTCTTTTTCTGTCTATTTGCACAACGTGTTATTGGATCAATGTGCAATAGTTCATTTTTAATTTCAGCATTGTGAACCACAACTGTTAACTGTGGAAATTATTAATGAGCAACATCATCTAGTTCTCCTGTCAAAAATTGGCAAAATGCATGGTCAGGTTTCATGATATCAATTTCAAAAGTTTCTGTGAGGCTTGTAAATTTTGTATTTTCTCTCTTAAGCATCACCGAATTTGAAATCTACAAATCCCATTTTCAGTTTCTATCATTAATGCTGATTTTATAGATTTTCATTTTGCTATTATACATCTTTGTAATTCTACTGGTGTTATGCCATTCAAGTTTGAAATAAAATCTTGTTGAGGATTATGTTGATGCTTTCTCAGAACATCCCGTTGCCGATGCTGGAGGCATGCATACCTTTCTTTTAAAGGTATGAAGGTGGGGATGGAGATAAGTTAGCCACCTCCTGCCATAAACCAACAAGCAGCATCTACAGATTTTTGTCACTCGAAGGAAATATTGAGC